AGATGGGTACTAAACTTAGAGGCAAACACTTTTAAGTTTATAAATGTCTAATCACTATGCTGCACATATGCCACTAATATAATATTGTTGTTTTTTTAAATATATTTTATTGATTTTTTACAGAGAGGAAGGGAGAGGGAGAGGGATAGAGAGTTAGAAACATCAATGAGAGAGAAACATCAATTCAGCTGCCTCTTGCACGCCACCTACTGGGGATGTGCCCGCAACCCAGGTACATGCCCTTGACCGGAATCGAACCTGGGACCCTTCAGTCCGCAGGCCGACGCTCTATCCACTGAGCCAAACCAGCTAGGGCACTAATATAATATTGTCAAGTGTAATTTATGACAAATTAAAACAGAAGTGGCCAATTTTTACTTTATCTATCCTCCTATATATCTATCTACTGCTCCCACGTATTTTAGTGTACAGTTCGTTCACATCTTAAAATATATTTCTATCCAAAAGCAATACTATCCTGTTCTGTATCACACAACATTTTGAAGGATTTCCAATTTCTATTTTTAAAACAAAACTCTTACTCCTAACTAGACAGACAGTAGTAAATGTGCAATCGGTGTCATTCATAAACTTCTATTCTTATGTTTTAGATCTAAATAAACATTCTGTCTAAAACAGGGGTACGAAACTTCCAGCCTGTGGTTCACATACGCTCTCAAAATGATTTGACCTGATCCTGCCAAGGCATTAGCAGTGACTTAGTTAAATGTTTGACCAAAACCAGAAGGCTATTTTTAAAGTTGATAATTTTGTATGACTCACGAATAATGTTCTAAATACCCAAGCTGCACATGTGTGATGCATGTCATACATAAACTTATAGGCTTATATTCTGGTTCTAAATAAACATTCTGCCTAAAAGAATACCATTTGCCAACAAGATATTTTGCATATTAGGAAACTGCTTAACAGGCCTTTCATCCAAAAACTGAAGACTCCACCTCGTTTCTAACCAAAAAGTTGGAAAGACTCCACCCCGAGTTCACTCAGGCGAAGTTAGATGCTGGATTTGGCCCTGGAGCCACCACTGGCCTTGGGAGGAGTGGCATCCCTGGGTGCAGCTTGGGCTCTGGCTTGCTTTCTCTCTTCCTCATCTTGCAAAGCCTCTTCATAATGGGGTGAGTAGGCAGTGGGCAGGGTATCACTGAGATCGGCTAAAACCTCGAGGACTTTCATCTTGCTGGTCTCAGCGTGGGCTCTAGGACCCCACAGGAACTCATAGCGTGGAGGATCACTGTTGGGCACAGGTTGGTACACCAGGTATTTTTCCTGCACCAAATCTTGGGTGATAAGCTTCCTGGGCTCCCCAAAAATGAAGTGACTCTTTCCATCATAGACACTCATCATATTCAGGAATTTCCAGATCTCCTCCTCAGTGGCGCTGTTGCCATTCAAGGAGATGACACCCAGGATAGGCATCAGAATCCCTTTGGTAGGAAATCTGAAGCCGCTGCTCAGACTCTCATCTTCACTGTCGACAAGGGTGTAGGAATTACTGTTGGGCTTCACTTCTTTCACTTGCAGGCCGAAGAACCGATCCATGCGCTCAGAGGCTCTCCCGAGGATCTCAGGGAAGTCCTTCCTGAACCACTTGTGGATGATCTTCAGCATGTCTTCCTTTTTAATGAGATCATTCTTTTTATATTGATACAGCAGGTACTCTACTAACATAATTGCCTTTTGATTTATAAGATCTTGGCCAGCATTCTTAGTGGAAATTGAGGCCCTGGAGGAACTTTTACTTTTCCTAACATGGCCTTTGGCTTTTACAGCAGGTATTTCACATGAGGCAGCTGCAGCGCCACTGGTGGTGGCTGGGGCACCCTGAGGTGCCTGGAGAGTGCCAGCACCAGCATCCCCTAAAACAGAAGAGGAGGAACAAATGGCCTCTCCTTCCTTTCCTGCAGCGGCCTGAGCACTCTTATCACCTTGTTTCTCAGCTCTGTTTTGGTGGTGTTTCTTCTGAGCACGGAGCTTGCTCTTATGACCACGAGGCATGATGGCTGTTGTTCAAGACGGAAGAGGAGGAGCAAGCGGCCACTCCTTCCTCTTCTGCAGCGACCTGAGCACTCTTATCACTTTGTTTCTCAGCTCTGTTTTGGCGGCGTTTCTCCTGAGCACGGAGCTTACTCTTATGACCACGAGGCATGATGGCTCTTGTTTAGGACAGCAGACAGGTGATTTGGGCACCTAGTGGGTGGGGAATAAGGTAACTTGAGCACCGTTAACAGGAAGATTTCACCTTGCATTTCCTGAAGGGTGCCTCTTCAGGCTTCATTGAGGGCACTACTCTAGGATCCCACAAGTCTCCTGTTTTCCTGGTCTGGCCCTTAAAAATCCCACTGAGAAACCAGATAAATTTTAGAGTCAAATCCACACTATGTGCTATCAGCCCTGCCTTGAGTTTACTCTTGTGACAGTAGGTGATTTCAGTGTAGCCCCCCTTGTTCTGGCATGTGGCATCATCCCTCTTTATCCTCAGTATTACCGCACCAATGGGAAGGGCCTAGGCAACCTACCCTCTGCTGCTCTAATGCTGCCACCAAAATGCTCCCTGGGCCCCAGGAGAAAGAACTGGAGAGAAACTTTAGTTCACCTTCCCATCAGGGGAAACCTAGTGCTGAGAATTTGTTGGGGTCCTTTATGTCATGAGTTCATTTGGATCCCCAGTTGTCAGTCAAGCCACATAGGACCCAATTCTGAGGTCTCAAATGGACTCATGCTGAGGTCATGATTTCTCCCTCTGCTGGCCTGGTACCACTCCCCTCATCCCCTCAGACCAAGGCACTAATTTCACTGTTAACCCTGAGTGAGGGCAGATGGGCACTCCTGCCTCACATCTATCCTTGAGGTGCACCAGCGCTGAAAATAGACAGGATTCTTGTTTTGATTGTTTTGTTAATCCTCACTGGAGGATAGTTATCACATATTTTTTTTTGTATGTATGTATGTATGTATGTATGTATTTATTTTTCCACTGGTTAATATGTTTATTACCTTACACATCTTTCTCATCTTTTGTATTGCTGAAAATGGACAGGATTCTTGATTTGTTCATTGGTGTTGTTAATCCTCACAGGAGGACAGTTTTTCTGGTGATTTTTTTAGAGAGGGGAAAGGTGAGGGGGAGGGAGATGGAGGGGGGGGAGGGAGAGAGAGGAAATATTGATGTGGGAGCAACACATCAATTGGTTGCTCGCTCATGAACCAAACCGGGCAAGGGATCCACCTAACACCTAGGTACCTGCCCATGACCGATGACCGGCTCCAGGAGCCTTGTGCAGGCCGACCATCTAACCAGGAGGCGCACTGGCTAAGGCAGGGAGGATTCCTTGTGGCCCCTGGCACAGGGTGGCACATGCCCACAGTCCTCAATGGTCTGTCCCTGAAACCTGGCACAACACGAAATCCTCCCTCCGCTGACCTGCAGTTGCCCCTTTGACCGGATCTGTCACCTCCCCGAGATGGCCTGGGAGGAAGTGAGTCAACTCATCATGGCGACGAGCCCTAGCCTCCCAGGGGTGACTCCCACAGCCTCCCTCAGTGTAACAGCCCTGAACCCTGGTAGAGACGGGGCCCTCTTTGTGCCCTCCTCCATTACCCCAAGGCCCTGGCCTCTCTGAGACACCACCTGAGGAGTAAGGGTGACCGCGGCCTGCCCGCTCTGCTCCCGGCAGCCTTGGCTGAGTTTGGCGGGGTGGCCGCTCGAGAGGAGGCCGGGTCGCTCTTTATTTCCTTGGCGGGACAGTCCCGAGAGCTGAGTACAGGGGCTGCTGCCCTGCGAGGCCCTTTCACCGAGAGAGGGCTGCTCTGAAGCACCCGGCCTCCATCTTGAATCCCTTTGGGGCCCAGGGGTCCTCCTTCAGTAGGGTCGGGCCTACTCCCTCCCAAGGCCTCCCCCAACACTTTCCAGGCCGCAGTCTCAGGGCTGTGCTGGGGCCTGTCGGGGCTCAGCAGGGGAGGGGTGGGGGGCCTGCCTTTGTTTTGGGGGTGTGGCTTCCGAGGGTAGAGGTAGGTCCTCACCTTGACTCAAAGCCACTACTGCGAAGCCGCCCTCAGCCAGGCAACCGCCACACAGGTCTTCAACTCCCAAGTAGAAGTTGGTGGGTCCTTTCCCGCGGGGCTGTCCAGGGCGCGCCTGATGCCGGATGCCTGAAGGATTAGGGTCCTTGGGCCCCAGGTCCTCACTCAGGATTCCCACTTTTATGTCTGCAGATCTTGGACGTCTCCCTCTACTGACACAAGTGGGTCTGGCGCCCACAAAGTCTGCCCTCCCCTGAGACCCAGTGAGGCAGGCAGTGAGGATGCCCTTCCTCTGAAGTGGGGTCCTAGGTCTCCCAGGCGGGAAGAGGGCGGGGCTGTGGGAGCCTCCCTTTGAGAGAGACATGCTGTCGCTTAGCACTGCGTGTTCTCGCGGGAGCCTCCCCTTGAGAGAGACATACTCTCGCTTAGCACTGCATGTTCTCGCGTGAGGCTGTTGTGTGATGTACAAGCTTCCTGTCTCTGCACACCTGGCCTTGGGTCCCTCCCCGAGAATACACAGCTGGAATGCGTGGATTCCTGCTCTTCTGCGTTTTCCAGGGCTAAGCTCAGTGCTGGATTCTCTGGCCCCTTCAAGTTTGGGGGTGCCCTCACACCACTCAGGACCTTCCCATAGTTGCATTCTTCTTAAAGTCACATTCCCTCCCTCTGCAAAATGGAAAATGTCCGTTAGTCAGAGGCCCTGATGTCCTGGGCCTCCCAGCCTCTAATCAGGCTGACATGCCCGCCAGGGGCTCCACTGCGAGGACAGCAGAGGAGATTTTGTGAGACCTCCTCTCCATTGTGGGGCTACCCTTAGTCCACACCAGGGCCCTCACTGTGAGAGATGGCCCTTCCGGTCACTCCGCCCTCCTCTTTCTGACACTGCTCGGCTTACTCCGCAATGCCTCTCGCTGAGAATTCCCGGTTGGAGTCAGGGTTTACCACGTGATCATGGCCCTTCCGGGCCTCCAGGAAGAGCCAGCAGGGACGCGTCTCCAGGACCTTACTGTCCTGGCTGAGTCCTGCTGCTGCTCCTCACCGGCAGCCTTCACCAAGTCTGTCAGCGCCTCGGACTCCTACTGCACGGAGCCCACCCTCCTGGGTTTTTGCTGGGCCCCTATATTGTGGCGTGATTGGTTCCTCAGCCCTCTTTCACGGGAGTCCTTGTCTTGGCTTCTGTCTGTTGCTTATAGGCTTCCTGGGAAATGTCACCTCCCTGCAAACCCTTGAGCAATTTCCCTGTTGCAAATCTTGCAGAAAATGGATCCCGCTTTGTGACTGATGTAAGACTAGGCAACGGTTGTCAGGGGAAAGAAAGCTGATACATTCTTTCTCTTCAGCAGCCAGACTTAGGGAACTTGCAAAGGATTCACTTTCTATGTAGGGGGGTAGAGCCCGATGTTTGTGAGTCCTGACTGGGCTTCTGAGGGCATCTGGTTTCACACAGGTCAATGATCATATTGTCACTCGCTATGATCTCATCGCTTTTACTCAAGTCTTACTCATTTCTGATTTTTATTTTTCTGGTTATGTCACTCAATCAACTCTTTTGGTCCCTGGGTCCTTCTTTTGATCACTTGAGATACATTTTGGAGCAGTAGAGAAAAGTGGATTAGCTGACTCATGGTCAGCTGCAAGGAGCGCGCCCCTGTGAGCTTTGGACAAATCCAGACCAGGGGTTCTGGTCCCAGCTCTGTCACTTACTAGCTGTGTGAACTCAGGTACATCAGCGAACTCTGTGAGCCTCCGGTTCTGCATTTATGAAGGGGCTTTGCTAAGCCCTGTCTTGTAGGGCTGGTGGATTGGGGGGAATGTATGATTAGCGCCTGGCACAGTGCCTGGAATGCATTGCGATTTTTCACAATGCCTGATATGTTTCTGATTAGGATGATTTCAACCCTTCAATATACCACTCACCTTAAAGCCTTTTTAAAAAATATCCACGAAATATTAGAGAATATGTGTCCATCTAGGACATGGAACTCCAAATCTGTCCAATATCTATTTACAAAGAAACTCTAAGTAAATCCCCCTCCAACCCATTAAATCATTACATCTCTCTTAGAGTTTTCCAAGTTACAACAACAACAATAACCAAAGATGTTGAATGTCATTTTAATAGAATGGGTTCTGACTCTCTAACCCACACAAAAAGCAACAGCCCAATGGCTGCCAAGTTTCCAGTCATGGATTATGGTGTTTTTTTCCTCAGAAATTCCCTGAAGATGATGGGCATCAAACACCCACTGTGTGCACTTTGCTCACCTGCACTGGGACAGGAGCACGGGATGCATCCCAACGCTGTCCCAGGTGGAGATCCTCTCGGGGTTACTCATCATTCCAAAGTAACTGTAACAGTCATCTTCCAGTCCAGGTGCAAGTGTCTCAGCTCTGAGACCCACAGTCTGAGGGTGTGGTCCGTGCCCACCATGCTGTGACCTTAAGATTCCCTCCCACTGCCCAGCTTTCACTTTCCCCAAGTCTCTAACTGCCTCCCTCGCCTCACAGATTCTCCACTAGACTCCTCATCTGGAGCCTCCCGCCCCACTTCTGTCCCCTTAATTTCACTGGTCTGTGTACATTAGGAGTATCTCACCACCTACATTATAAGAAAGCTGCTCTTAGACCAGGGGTGGGCAAACTTTTTGACTTGAGGGCCACAATGGGTTCTTAAACTGGACCGGAGGGCTGGAACAAAAGCATGCATGGAATGTTTGTGTGAACTAATATAAATTCAAAGTAAACATCATTACATAAAAGGGTACGGTCTTTTTTTTTTTTTTTTTTAGTTTTATTCATTTCAAACGGGCCGGATCCGGCCCGCGGGCCGTAGTTTGTCCACGGCTGTCTTAGACTCTAAAATTCTATGGGCAGCGCAGGTAGGGTCTAGTTTTCTTAGCATCCCCAGTACTAGCCAAGAGCCTTCCAAAGAGCAAATGCTAAGTTAATATTTGGACATGGAAAGAGCCAGTGTACAGGAAGCCAAACTTATTAGGATTTCATTTCTCCTACATTCTTGAAGAAGCTAAGCCAATCCAGGTACATATACTGCAATTTTACAAAGAAACTGAAACTAGCAATTGGCCATATTTTCCATTGTTCTTCACATCTCATGATCACACAGACTTTACTCTGGGGTAATTTCCTTTTACACAAAAATCCATATTCCAATATCATGCTATCTATCTTGTTCCAAATGACAAGAAATGACCCAAGGATTTTCAATTTGTTCCATAGCAGCAAAATTCCCAATTTTTCTACCCGATAAACTCCAATAAATGTGTGGTCCATGTCACTCATACACTTAGGTTCTGGAGCAAAATAAAAGTCTACGTGAACGGAACAATCTTTAAAATAGAAAAAGGAAACTGTTAAATCTCCAATTTCCCCATGTTGTACAGGCACTCAAACATGTTACTAATATGCACTGTGTTCTCAGGAGCCCCACCCTGGCTCCTCAAGGTTGGCTGCTTTCTTTAAGCAGAAAGTGAAGACTCTGCCTCAGACCTCACTAGGATGAGAGGAGTTTCAGGACATGCCCTGGACTGCAAATTGGCCAGGGCAGCAATAGGGGAGCCCTGCTGCTGCTGTGCCTCAGGCCCTCTCTTTCTTACCCTGAAAAGCCTCCTGATGATGAAATGGGAAGGCCCTGTCCATGGTATCATAGACCTTAGCCCAGTGGTTCTCAACCTTCTGGCCCTTTAAATACAGTTCCTCATGTTGTGACCCAACCATAAAATTATTTTCGTTGCTACTTCATAACTGTAATGTTGCTACTGTTATGGATCATAATGTAAATATCTGATATGCAGTATGGTCTTAGGCGACCCCTGTGAAAGGGTTGTTCGACCATCAAAGGGGTCACGACCCACAGGTTGAGAACCACTGCCTTAGACAAACTCCCTCACATCATATGTACTCATAGGAAAGCACCCTCTATCTATGTACAAAGGTCATACTCATTCTTTCTTATAGCTACATAATACAGTGTGGATATCCCATGGTTTTTCAATCAATATATTGATTAGCATTTATGTATCTTCCTATCGCTGTGGGTGTGACTTCCGGGTAAGCCTTAAAATGTGGAATTACTAGGTCACAGGTAAATGCATATTTAGTTTTGGTATATATTGTCAAATTCTGTATGGTAACGTTTTGAGAATTTTTGCATCCCTGTTCTAAATAATATTGCCACTAAATAATATTCTCAAGTAATATAATAAGAAACAAATAATTTTGAGATACCTTTACCTGTTCTAAATAAAGAAGTTATGCTTGCTTCCTAAATAACTTTTGGAAGTTTTGTTTCATTTTCCATACTCTGGAATGACTTGTGTGATGAAATTTGTACATTTTGCAAGAGTATAGAGAGTAATGTAACCCATGCTCCAGTTACTCATTTCCAAGCTTCAGCTAACACATGGCCAATCTTGTGTTATGTATATACAACCTCAGCCTCCAGAGTATTTTCTTTAGAGTTTATTTTATTCTTATTTTTTAAAATGTTTTTATTGGTTTTATTTATTTATTTATTCATTTATTTATTTATTTATTTATTTATATTATTCTTTATCATTATGTTCCCTTTTCTCCCCATTAACCCCCTCTGGCCGGCCCCACCCCACCCCAGGCCTTCACCATCCTATAATCTGTGTCTATGGGTTGTGCATATATGGATACAAGGTCTTTGCTTGATTACCTTCCACCCACTCATCCTCCCCCCCATTCCTTCTGAGATTGCACACTCTGTTCCATGCTTCCATGTCTCTGGATCAACTCCATTCACTAAATAATTTTGTTACTTAGATTCCACATATAAATGAGATCATGTGATACTTGTCTTTCTCTGACTGACTTGTTTCACTTAGCATAATACTCTCCAGGTCCCTCCGTGCTATCTCAAAGGGTAAGGATTCTTCTTTTTGCTGCTGGATAGCATTCTTTTTTACTGCTACATGGTATAAATGCACCACAGTTTTTTTTGTTTGTTTGTTTTTTTATCCACTCATCTACTGATGGGCGCTTGGGCTGTTTCCAGATCTTAGTTATTGTAAATTGTGCTGCTATGAAAATAGGGGTGCATATATTCTTTCTGATTGGTGCTTTGGGTTTCTTGGGATATATTCCTAGAAGTGGGATCACTGAGTCAAATGGCAGCTTCATATTTGATTTTTTGAGGAAACTCCATACTGTTTTCCATAGTGGCTGCACCAGTCTGCATTCCCACCAGCAGTGCATGAGGATTCCCTTTTCTCCACATCCTCACCAGCACTTGTCATTTGTTGATTTGTTGGTGGTAGCCATTCTGACAGGTGTGAGGTGATATCTCACTGTCATTTGAATTTGCATCTCTCTGAAAATTAG